TTTAATAGCCTTGTGCTGGGACCTAATGGCTGTGCTGGAAGCTGGTGGGAAGCCTTCATTAACTCTCCCGTGACCTGGGAAGGCTATGGTCCTTCTTCCTCATTGGCAGTTAAGGAAACCCAGGCCTTGTCTGGGGGAATGACTTGGTTGAATGAGCAACTCTGAGCCCCTTACTCAAGAACTTGTGAATTCTTGGTGGGGGGCAGGGGGCTCAATGGGTGAAACTACATTGGGATCTGAGGGACTGTCACAGTGAAGCTGAGCGGCTGAGAGGACAGAGCAAAGAAAAGCGTCTGCCTGGAGTTTTCTCTGGCTACATCCTTGGTCCTTGTCCACACCTCTCTGTCCCTAGCCCCAAAGTGCCTGGCCAGTGCACTCTACAGCCTTCAGGGCACCGAGCCCTAAATCTCTTTTGCAGTGCCAGGAGTCTCAGCTGATTCTCTCGGGGAACCCCTCAGCTTTGGTTGGAGATAGGGCAAGAAGGCTGGAGTATAGGAAATCTTAGTTTTGTGTGTCCCTTCACCCAGGGTGGCAGCGTCAGAGGACGCTCCCGGGGGCTGCGGGCCCTTTAAATCCTCCGGGGCGGCGGCGACGGGCGGGGGATGACATCAGCGGGCGGGCCCGGGGCTCAATGGGAACCGCGGGGACGCGCGCGCGGCCAGGGAGCGCGCGAGCCGGCGGGGGGGGCGGGCGGCGGGAGGCGGCGGAGCGCGGAGCCTGAGCCCGGCCGGGCCGAGCGCAGCGCAGCGGGCCGGGGAGAGGCTGGCGCGCCCGCGGCCCGGCGAATCCTCTGGCATCCGCCCCGGCGGGCCGCCCCGGCGCGGTGAGCATCGGGGGCCGGGGAAGCGGGGTTCCCTCCGCCTCTTTGTGTTTTCTTTTTGCGCGAGCGCGGGGCGGACACGCGCGTCCGCGCAGGGCTGGGGGCGCCGCCCGTGAGGACAAAGGCGCGGCCGGGGACGCGGAGGGGACGGGTGCTTCGCAGGCCGCCGGGTGCACCGAGGCGGCCCCGGGTTGGGGCAGGGGACCTGCGGCAAGGGCCTGGCTGGGGTCCCAGGGGCGCTCGGATTCCGGGCCGGCCGCGGCCCCTCCTCTGTGCCCTGGGCTCCGGGTCACCGAGGCCGTTCTCGCGTAGGGTGGGAGCGCGCGGGGGTCCTAAGTGATGGGGTGCGTGGTCACCCGGGCCACCGGCTTTGTTTTCCTTTGTGGCGAGAAGAAGGGAGGGGGTTATTTATCGCTTGGATTCTCATTGCGGTGTGCGAGACAGCCTTGTGCTTCCAGCTTCTGAAGCTGGGTGCCTGGGCGCCTCAGAGGCAGGGCTGCGACTTAGGCCACCCCCTCCCCCTACTTTGTCCAGAGTTTTCCCACATATTTCTTAGCATAACCTCCCCCTGGAAAGGGGGTCTGGAGAGAGAGAAAGGGGTGCATTTCCAATGAATACTTGCGTTTGGGATGCCTTTCTTAGGTTTAGGGTATTCCTTCAGTTTTTATTCCACTGATTCATTGACCAGGGTCTTGGCCCTGCAGAAGGTGGGTGGTGTGTGTGTGCGTGTGACACGGGACTGCCCATGTGCCCTGCCCAGCTGGTTGTAGTTGTAATTTTTCTAACCAGCTGAGAAGTCTTGACTCCTCATGGCCACCTTTTTTTTTTTAAACTTTGTTTATTCCCCTCCCCCACCCCTCCCGTAAAGGGACAGAGTGAAGAATTGGAAAGCCATTCTGATTCCCTGATGAAGCCCCCACCCCGAAGTCAATTTCCTTGGGTGAGGGGCTTTTAAGTGGAGTAGGGCTGGGGCAGACTAGACTCCCTCCAGGGCTCTGGTCTCCAGGGTGGGGAGACCCTGGCATTGGCGGGGTCCTGCAGGGTTGATGGTTGTAGCTCTCCCCTTTTGTGCAGAGTGGAGAGGGGCTTGGGGGTCATGTGCAGTGTATTTATGTAAGGCTCCCAGACAGAGGGCACTGGTATTTATATAACCTGGCGTGGGTATTTATGTAATATAGGATGCAGTGTATTTATGTTCCTTTCCTAACCTGTGGCTTTCCCAGATGCCATGTATGGTCTCTGAGTTGGCGTTAGTGGAAACCTGGCTTTGGGGGGGGGGGTTGTTTGTGAGTACACAGCCAGCCTCCCCCCTTTCCGGTAGAGATTGTAAGTGTGAGCCTCTACTCCCATCTTCCCCTTGGCATGTGCACTTAGCAAGCTGGACCATGTATGAACCTGTGGTGCCAGGCTGGTGGGTTTTCTGCAGATATGCAGTACTGCTGTTGGCAACCAGGGCAACTCAGCTGGGCCAGGCCAGCCATGTGGGCAAAGACCCATGATGTAGAGCCCAGCGTTTGGCTGGCACCCAGTGGCAGCCACTTCCTTGTGGCTGGTGGCAGGACTGTGGTGGCTCTCTGGGAGCTAGTACTAGGCTAGGGTGTCTCTGCTGGCTTGGTCTCTTGGCTCTTGGGCTGACCAAGGAGCCCTAGCGATTCTCTCCCAGCTTCTTTCCAGGCCTGGCAGCTGGGGGCAGGCTTAGCACAGGGGAGGGACAGCACCCCCTGCGCCCGGGCAAGCAAGCTAGTCACCGCCTCACCTTCGGTTTTACTTCTCAAGCCTGGAGTGAAATAAGTTCTGGGTAGGAGGCCACCAGGTGGGCCAGCCGGACCCCTGTTTGGTCCTAGGTGAGATTTCTGTCACTGGCTTGCTGCTGGGTGCTGTGGGGATGGTAGCAAGCCCACTCCAGGCTTGGGTTCTCATCTGCAAAAGGAGCACCCTTATGTTTGCTCACACTAGCTCATGTGTAACCAAGCAGATGTGTCAAGGACCCTGTCTCCCTGTCTCATAGTTTACTGTTCCCTGCTCCCCCCACCCCCCGGCAGCCCAAACCGCCTCCATTCATTGAGTCTTCTTTTTTGCTGGCCTGGACACAGGTACCCAGAGCCTCTACCAGGCCAGTACAGAGGGGTCCCTGCTGTGGTCGTCCAATCCTTGTTATCCATGGTCTCGAGGCCTCTACCTCATCTGAGGAAGGAGCAGGCTATTCAGCTGAGCCCCACAGGGACCAGACCATCTCTGGAAACCCTTCCTCCTAGTCTTCAAGGATGCCTACCTGAGAGTCTACCCAAAGATGTGTGTGCATAAAGGCCTGAGAAATGGTTCTCTACGGCCTGAGTAGAGCCTGGGAGGCATTGTGAGGTACCTTGCCTTCCCTTTCTGAGTGAGGATCAGATCCTCTCATGTGGGGCCTGCCAGAAGCGGCCAGCTTAGCTTTGTATGAGCCTAGCAGTCCAGAGGCAGGGATAGAGGTGGCCTCAGGGGTCCCTTAGTGCCAAGGAGCTCTGTGGGGCTCTTCCTTTTATCCTGGAGATTGGAACTTGCTGACAGGCTATAAGTTTTCAGAACGGTCTACTTCCGTGGATCCCGTTCCTATTTCTGGGGTCCAGGACATCCCTAGGGTATTTTAAGTGTCTCTAGAGTGTATGTAGAAAAAGCATTTGGGAGAGACTTTTGACCTTTCACCTGTTAGGGTTGGTGGAGATTCACGGCCGAGCACAAGACCCATGTCATGGCACTCCTGGCTCTTCCCTGTTAACCCTTTGTCCTTGACTTAGGGCCTTAGCCCATTGTAGGCCAGCCTTCCTCTGAGGAGGCTCACGCTGGAGGGTCTGCTTGGCGTTCTCTTCCTAGGCCTTGGCTCAGAGCCTGTCTTTTCTGAACTAAGTGAAACTTGTTCTAAACCTGCCTCGGCCTTGCCCAGGTGTGTGGGCATGAGGACTACCTGACACCTGGCTGCCCTTGAGCAAAGTGAAGCCAGATTGCTTCCCAGACAGTGGGAGGAAGGAGACTGGCAGCCTCCGGTGGAGGAAGGGTCCAGGCCCTTTGGTGCTGGAGGTCCTGTCTATGACCTGTTTGTGCTTCTCCCACAGCAAGGTTGAAGCATGGAGCTGCGTGTGGGAAATAAGTATCGCCTGGGCCGCAAGATTGGCAGTGGATCCTTTGGAGACATCTACCTGGGTAAGTAACTGGGCCTCCAGCTATGGGCCTTGGGATAGCTCTGGGATGAGGAGGAAGAGAGGACCTGGGATCTGGGAGCAGGACTTTGCTCTGGTCGTGTGGCATGGTCTATAAGCCTTCAGGGTCAGCCCAGATCCAGAAGGAAGCTCAGGTGGTCTGGGGATGTCTTTCACAGCTGGGCAGGCAGGGCCTCAGTAGGCTGCAAGAGCAGAGGGAGATATATTTAGCAGACTTCCAGCTGCTGCTGACCTGGGTCTCCGTGGGGCATGGGAAAGCCCTGGCTGGGTTGGCACCCCCACCCCTTGGGCCCTGGCAGAAGGATACTGATAGATAGAAAATGCTTTGGCTATCCTGGACCCCCTGGGGACGCTCCCAGGAAGTCCAGGCTTCTCCCTTAGATGTGGCTTTCTGGAATGCAGCCTGGGCCTCTTTTGGAATGACAGAGGGAGGATCTCATCCCTCTGGGAGCTCCCTGTCCCTGGATGTGTGCTGCCTTTTGAAAATCCGAGTTTGCTCTGATGTCATTTTAAGCAGATTGCTGGCATCTCAGCCTCTAGTAAGGGAGAAACGAGCCCCCATCCCCCTCGAGTGCCTTTCTGGCCCCGCCATGTGCCATTTTGAGTGTTGTTGGCCTGGAAGGGAGAGTTTGCTTAGTAACTGCACAGATGGAGTTGGGAGTCTTGGAGTTGCTAGTGTGGTGGCAAGCCTCCTAGGTCATCCTTGGTGCTGCCCTGTGCCCTCAGGAGTAGGGCCCAGCTGCCTCTTGTTTTCCTCCTTAGAGAACGAAGATGAATCATTCTGTCCTGGGCAGAGAAAAGGGACATATCAGGACACTGTAGTCATTAATCAGTTTGGTCAAGGGTTTCTTTTCCTTGGTGCTCCAAGTCCCTGTCCACTTCAAGTATGAATTCTGCCGTCCAGCAAGCCTCAGGGTAGTGGGCAGGGGATGCAGAGGCCTTCTTAGCTTTTACCCACAGGCCTCTTTCTGAACATTGTCACTCTCAAGGCAACCCCAGTTTCTGGTTCTCAGTGCTCCCCATATCCTGTGTGACCCAGGCTGTCCCTTTCTTCTGATGGCAGAAGGCTAAGATAACTGCCAAGGATTGCTCCAGAAAACCAGCTGGGGCGGCCTGGGCACCACAGCCCCACAGAGTGCAAAGGCAGAAAAGAGAATGGGAGACAGACATCCCTGGATTCTAGATCTTAACCTGGACAGCTGCCCTGGGACCTCAGTGTCCCCCATCTGTGTCCCCAGATGACCAAGCACTGTTGCAGGGCACAGATGCAACAGCCATGCAGTAGTTTTGTGCCTGGCGTCAGGTGGATCCCTGTACGCTGTAAACAGCTCGATGTTTCTCTTTGGGGTATGGAGTGTGTGTGCCTGTAGGCACAGCTGCTCCGGAGGCTGAGGCAGGAAGATGGCTCGACCCCAGGAGTTTAAGTGTCAAGTCATTGTAAAGTAGTGAGATAACTGTTTGAAGAATGAGTAATGAGAAATCAAGGTGTTTCTGGGTCCTGTCATTCCTTTCAGAAGGAGCTGGTGTAAGCTTGGGTCTGCTCCCCAGCCCCACCCCAGTGCCCAGAGTGTGGTCCGTCCACAGTGGATATCCAGTGAAGGCCTGAGAAGCAAAGAGGGAGGAAAAGGAGCGAAATAGCCTGTGTAAACCTCTGTGTAGTAGGAAAGGAGAGAGCAGGGATTGGGGAACTGGGTGGGCCAGTTTCTGCTTCTCAGTGTTCCCCATTTAATGCGCAACCTGGGCTGTCCCTTTCTCTGAGACTGGTATAAGTGTGAGGAACCTGTGTTGTGTGTGTGCACGCGCACATGTGTGCGAGCATGTGACACAGTCAGTTACTTGCTACTAAAGAATACCCTGTGGGGCCCCTCTTCTGCAGAGGGAATATGAAAGCTTGCGGATGGAGAGGCACAGCCCAAGGTCACTCAGAAAGGCCAGTGTCCCCCGTTCCTGAGGTCTGCCTCCCTGGGGGGAGGACTTCCTGTTTATCTGTGGTGTCGTCTCGATGATGCTAACACCCAGGTCCAGATTTACTTCTGTTTGTGTCAGCTCTGGAATGAATTGACCCTGGGTCTTTCTTTCCTTCTGCTGGCAGTAAGCTCTGGTTCCCTGCCAGCCTTGACTTCCTTATCAGAGACAGTATTGAGAAACAGGGCTGCAATGGATGAACCCCTTGCCTTTGTGGGGACAGTGGTGACGGAAGGTCCCTCTTTGACTGGCCTTGCTGGCACGCTTTGTTCCAAGTGCCGGCCACATTCTCATCATGGTATTGGGCCAGGGCCTGACTCCAGATGGCCTCTACAGGTGGGGCCAGGCTAGGCTTGCACATTGAGCTTTCCAGGATTGACCTCGAGGAAGTCTTGGGATGAGAGCCTTGTGAAGTGGTTGTGAGCCCCTCAGCCCACCTTCCTGTCTGTCTGTCTCCCTCCCTTTAGGGTCTAAGGTTGATTGAGCATCCAGCGGGAGCGCTGTAGATCTGTTAAAACGAGCCTCTGAGCTTCAGCCCTGCAAGGGGTAGGGAACGGGTGGCTATAGAGATGATCTTTGGTTTGTTGGAGACGGGGTCTCACTGAGTGGTCCTAGCTGGCCTGGAACTCACTATATCAACCAGGATGGCCTTGAAGTCAGAGATCCAGCTGTATCTGCCTCCCTGTTCTAGGATTGAAGGTGTGTTCCACGCACAGACTTCAGCCTCTCGATATGGGTGTCAAAGTTGTTGGTGCTGGGGTGGTACTCACCACACCCCTCCCCGAGTCTGTATCTGCATAGGTGGTCATAGCTAGCTAAAGGGGCCATTCACCCCTCCCTCTCTCCCTGTAGCTTCTCTCCAGGTTTCTAGTCCATCCAGAGCCAACCAGGCTCACTCTTTCTCTATGTCCAAGATTGTTTTGGGGACCAATCAGCTCCTCCATTTTGGTGCAGTGGGCAAACTGTGGGGCAGGAAACAGGTCGTTTCTTCTGGCGTCCAAGTCCCTCAGCAAGGCACCCACACCTGCCATTTTGCCTCTGGTTGCCCTGCTTTCTGTCACCCCCATGGAAGGTGGACAGAGCTTCAGGACGGCCCTGGCAGACCCAGTGCAGCCTGCAACTTATACGAACAGTGTGCTTGGGAACTGGAATGGAGGAAGACGGTTGAAATCCTGGCCCTGCTCCAGCCAATTCTGTCTGGCCTAGGCCAGCCACTTAGCCTCACGGAACCTTTTCTTAGTGGTTGGCAGGATTAAGGGAAGACAGAGAAAAGCCTGGCTGCCTCCCGATAGGAATCAGACTGCCAAAGGCCTGTCCATGTGGCAGTGGGTGGGGGAGGGAGCAGTGGCCCTTGTCTGGGGGTCAGAAGGCTTTGCCTAATCACTTAGGTCCCAGGCTGCTGGCTTGGGAAGTTGTGTGGCATATGGTCATCTGACCTTTGATGCATTGGGTTTTCCCTGTGTCAAATAGAGACTGCAGTAGCCCTGGCCATGTGGCCTCAGAGTTCAAAGGGATGAAGAGCCCCACCTCTGCTGTCCCTGTCTACCGAGTCATCAGTGACCCTAGGGGTCATCTCTGCACTCTGCCTGGGCATGGCACACTGCTGTGGCCACCCAGACTTTCCTTTACTCTGCAAGTCCCCTCCATCCCTTTCTTATACACTGTCTATTCTTAGCGAGGGATGACTTTTGTCTCTTGGAGGGCATTTGGCATGTTCTGAAGACATTTCTGGTTATGACAACTTGAGGTGGCTGGGTGCGATCATGGCGTCTAGTGGGTAGAAACCAAGGATGTTGCCAAACCCTGGACAGTTCAGAAAGAGTTGTTGAACTAGAAATGTCAGGATTGTGGAGACTGAGAACTCACCTCACCTCATGCTGGTACTGGTTGGGCCCCTCGGCTGGGTGAGTGGGATCTTACCTTAGCCCTCAGGTCTCAGCCCTCACCCTGCCTACCTCTGCCACTCCCCTCTCCGGCTGCCCCTGGTACCCACTGCACCAAACCCCTCAGCGGCACCCTTCCCGCCTTTGCTGTTCTGTGACCCCGGTGTGTCACAGGATCTCAGCAAGCAGCCTTTTCTCTAGAGAAATGCTCCTTCACCAGAGCTCTGTGTTCTCCTCCTTCCGTCACTCCCAGGCAGGCAGTTCTTACCCCTTACCACCTCACTTCATTCTATCTCTGGCTGGGGTGGGTCACCCGTTGGCTATCACAGTGGACTGCTTACTGTGTGCCGGGGTTCTGCTGAGCTCCTCTGTCATGAACAGCTTTGGAAGCTAAGTTCAACTAGCAGTTTGCAGCAGGTACCTGGGCTCAGAAGTAGATCAGGGGCATCCCTAATGGAGAGGGATTGGGGAAAACGCCCAGGATCAACTCTGGCTTCTGTATAGATGTATTCATAAGTGCACACACACATATACATACACGATGATGATGATGATGATGAGGAGGAGAATGTTGATGATGATGTCATTGTCCCATGGCCAGGAGGTAGCAAGATCATGACCCTGGATCCAATAGCTTGGCTGTATAGCAAAAAGGCTCATGGTATACAGCCAGATTGGCTTCAAACTCAGCATCCTCCAGTCTCAGCCTCCCAAGTGCTGGGATTACAAGTATCACACTCACATCAGCTGGATTCTCCTGCTTTTGATGCCCACGGCAAGACGGGGTACCACATGACTCCAGGTCACCCCAGGTCCCTTTTCATGCCATATTCTATGAGCCCCCAGAAAGCTGTGCTCTGTGGAATGATGGTTGTTAATGTGTCAAAAGGACTTAACAGGGAGCTGGGAAGAAAATGACATTCTTGCCCACAAGCCTGAGCGCCTGGGCAAGTCTGTGCCCTGCTCACACTCAGCTTTTAAAAAAAAGCTGGGCTTGGTGGCTCAAACTTGCAATCCCAGACTGGGGATGCAGAGGCAGAGACAGGAGGATTCCTGGGCCTGCTGACCAGCCAGTGTGCTGACTGGATAAGCTCCAAGTTCAGCGAGAGACCCTGTCTCCAAAGATCTACTCTTTATTTTGTGTGTTGGGATGTTTTGGCTGCTCGTGTGTCACACACCCCGTGTGTGCTGTGCTTGTGTTGGTTCCTCTGGAGCTGGGGTTGCCGATGGGTGTGAGCTGCCACATGGGCACTGGGAACCAAACCAGGGTCCTCTGGAAGAGCAGCAAGCGCTCTTAACAGCTGAGCCATCTCTCCAGCCTCTGTCCCAAAAAAATAAGGCAGAGAGTGGTTGAGGAAAACTTCCAACACCTCTGGCATGTACACACACACACACACACGCACACTAATAGTAATATAATAATAATAACAATAACTAACAATTTTTTTTTTCTGAGACAGGGTTTCTCTGTATAGCCCTGGCTGTTCTAGAACTCACTCTATAGACCAGGCTGGCCTCAAACTCAGAAATCCACCTGCCTCTGCCTCCCAAGTGCTGGGATTAAAGGCGTGCACCATTATTGCCTGACAGACTTTGAAATTTTTAAAGTTGTTTGCAAACCAGTCCCCAGTTGTTCCCTGGATTTAGTCATCTAATCTGATTTTCTTCTGTGTAGCTCAGAAAGCAAAGCACACATGCAAAAGTTAAGTGAAAGAACACAGAAGGTCATGACAAGTGCTTTTATTTCATTGAAATGTCCAGACAAGGCAAGACCACAGCAGAAAGTAGTTGTGGTCACTAGCGGGTAGGGGGAGGAAGGGGATGATTACTGAAGGGCGTGGGCCTTTGAGGCTGAGGTGGACGCTTCTCAGATTGTCTGTGAGCTGGGTTGTACAACCCCACGGAGATCTAAACAATAAACAGTTCCACAGTGCCCATGACTGTCTCCTAGTTTACATGTGACGCTTCAACAAGAGCAGGCCAGTAAAAAGCGGCTCGTGATAAGGTGTGCCATGTCCCCGAAGTGCCTCCCTAGTCGGTTCCTGTTCTCCATGCGGCTGCAGCAGACGCTTCCCCGTCTGAAAGAGCACAAAGTACGGGTCTGTGCTTTCTCGTTTTCGCTTCCTGTGTCTTGGAGATCTTCCACTGCTACACCGAGCGAGCTCCCCCTCCCGCACCATTGTGCTCTGTTACCGGTCAGCTAGTCTTTATTTCGAAAGTCCTGAATGATGGACATGTGGGTGGCTCCCAGGCTTTCGCTTACTGCGAACACTCTACAGTGGACAGCCTTGGGCTGCTGGGGAGTGGGGCTGGAGAGATGGCAGAGGTAGGTGAATCTCTGAGTTCCAGGTCGGGCAGGCTACGTAGTGAGGCCCTGCTTTTAAAAAAAAGTGCTAGGTGGTTGTGCTGCGTGTCTTTAAGCCCAGCAGTTGGATCTCTGAGTTTGAGGCTAGCCTGGTCTACAGAGAGTTCCAGAACAGCCAGGGCTGCACAGAGAAACTGTGTCTGTACAAAAGAAAATCAACAACAAAAATAAATAAAAAAGAAGACGGCTTTTGCCGAGGACCTGAGTTTGGCTCTTGGTTCCCAGCACCTGCGGTAGGTGGCTCACCCTGCCTGTGACTCGGGGAAATCCATTGTGACTCTCTGGCTTCTGTGACACCTGTGATCAAATCCATATGCCCCCCCCCCAACACATACATATAATAAAAAAGTTTCCTCTTTTGAGACAAAGACTCCGTACGTGTCCTTGGCTGGCCTGGAACTTGCTAAGTGGACCAGATCAAGCTCGATAGAGATCTGCCCGCCTCTCTGGGGTTGGAGGTGTGTACCGCCACACCTGGGAAAAATTAAAATCTTTTAAAAAAAATTAAGAAATGTCGATCACAGCTGGGCCATGGAAAGTCACCCGCTGGCCGTGCAGGGAGGAGAGCCCAGTGGCCTTAGCCAGGCCTGTGAGGAACGTAGGCAGTGTGGGACTTGTGGCTGTGCTCCTCGGCAAAACCATCTTTAGGGTCTGTCTTTTGTGTCTGGAGGATGCTGCTCTCTCCCAGTGGGTACTGTCAGCTCACGTCCTTCATTCATCCTGTTTCCTGGCGGGTCTTTCCTGTTCACTAGCTGTTAGCCTGTGATAAGAATTGTGTGGTTTTCTTTCTGCCTTATTTCTTGTGCTTTGGCTGGCGTGAAGGGGTTCGGAATGTTTTTGAAGGAGAGGGAACCTTTGACATGTTCCTCTTATCTTTATTAGTATGTGTGTATGCTTGTGTGTGTGTAGAGGTCAGGAACAACTTTTTGAGGTAGTTCTCTCCTTCTGCATAGGTTCTGGGGATTGAACTGAGGTCATCAGGCTTGGCAGCAATCACCTTTACCTTCTGAGCCAGCTTGCCATTTCCTTGAGGAATACCTCCCCTCCCCCACCCTGCCACACTCACTACACACACACACACACACACATATGCACACACTCGAACACACCACACCACACAGACACCCTTATACCCTCCCCCACCATCCCTCTCTCTCTGTGGGAAAATTTTAACATAGGTGTTTAGAGGATTGGTTGGTTGGTTTTTACATTTTAATTTATTTTGTATGCAAGTGGGTGGGCACATGTGTGTCGTGACATATGAGTGGAGTCCAGTTATCTCCATCTGAGACAGGAAGTTAGCAAGTTCTGGGCCAGCCTGGGCTACATGGTAAGAAATCTGCAGATGTCCAGTTGTGTGGCCCTTACTGCAGCATTGTCTTCCGCTAAGTCTCAGACTTCCATCACTTCCAAGAGCAGCTACTGCCTCTGGCTCCCTGCCTGTTGCAGGGACCTGCTTCCAGCCTCTGTCTTGCCTTTCATCCCTCTCCTCCCTGACCCTGTCTTCTCCCCCACATAGCCACTAGTAGCTACAGGTCTCCACTTCTACAATGGCTCAGCAGTTATAAGAGCACTGGCTATTCTTCCAAAGGACCAGGGTTCGATTCCCAACACCCACACAGCAGCTCACACCTGTCTGTGACTTCAGTTCCAGGATATCTGACACCTTCACACACAGGAACAAGCAGGCAGAACACTTAACACTGTGATAAATGAAAATAATAAATAAATCATAAAAAAAATAAATCCAAAAATCTACTTCTGACCCATCCTCTCCCTCCCTTCCAAACAGTGTCAAGCTCTATAGCCTAGGCTAGAAATCACTCTGTAGCCCAGGCTGGCCTGAAATTCATGTGTAAACCTAGCTGACCTTGAACTCAGGAAGTTCTCTTGGTTCAGCCCCCTCCATGGCGGGACTGCAGGTGTGAGCACCATGTCCAGGTTGTTGGTGTGACTTCTGGAGCCACAGCCCCAGGCTGAGAGCTCAGCCATAGAGTGTATCATTTCCTGGTTAGAGCATCTTGCTTCCAGCTGTGAGAAACCAGGAGCAGGTGGGGGAAAGCAGAGATGCAGACAGGTCCCTCACGCCCAGACTCAGAAGCCCAGAGAACTGGGTCCACGTTCCGTTTCTCCATGGGGCCTTGTGGCCTTGGCCAAGCCTGTTTCCCCTGTATGCAATGAGGTTAAGAACCGGATGGGAGTGAGTTGTCGTGGGGTATTCCTGGCCCCCCTACAGTTCCCGCTGGGCCCCTGACCCCTCTTCTCTGTGACCTTTCAGAGCCAACACCCACTGACCTGCCAGTCTCTAGGATTAAGTTCTGTGCGTCATCCTCCATCCCTCAACCCCCACAGGTGTCAGTCTGTCTGGGTGCACCTGACCTGTGGCCTCTAAGCAGCGCAGGGCGTGTCATCTCCTCCCCTCCCATATCATTCCTATAGGTTGAGCGGGGAGCCTCTGGAGTGCCCACCCACACACTCCTGGTTCCTCTGCGACTGCCAACCCCGGCTTCTTTTCAGTCTCATGGAGTGTGACTGGTCCCCAGACAGCCTCGGGCCTGAGTTACAGCAGCCTCAAATGGTGAACGGGGAGGCACCCCGCGGTCCCTTGAGATTAATGCTGGCCCTTTCCCTCCTCTGACGTGGGCAGGTGCCAACATTGCCTCTGGTGAGGAGGTAGCCATCAAGCTCGAGTGTGTGAAGACGAAGCACCCTCAGCTCCACATCGAGAGCAAGTTCTACAAGATGATGCAGGGGGGAGGTGAGGCCGGGATGCAGGGGTGCTGAAGGAGGGGAGGGAGCCCGAGGCTGGGGTAGGGTGGGGGTGTAGGGGGGAAGCTGGTGGTCCTGGTGGAGATGACACAGAGGACATGTGTGGGCGTGACCACCGCTGACCGGATCTCTCTCCCGGGCCCAGTGGGGATCCCGTCCATCAAGTGGTGCGGGGCTGAGGGAGACTATAACGTGATGGTCATGGAGCTGCTGGGGCCCAGCCTGGAGGACCTCTTCAACTTCTGCTCCCGGAAGTTTAGCCTCAAGACGGTGCTGTTGCTGGCCGACCAGATGGTGAGTCCCCACCTCTCGCATTGTTCAGGTGACTCTCTGGCTCTGTGAACCACTGGTCTCTCAACCATGATGGTGCTGGGCCTTGTATACCAACCCCAAGTCCTACCTCCTGAGGTCAGGCCTGTTCCAGGGACCAGGAGACACTGGCGACCCATTGTGGAACCCAGAGGGTGCCTCTTTAACATCTAGATTCCTGGGTTTTCTCTTTTCTCTTACTGTAATAAACATGGGACCAGAAGCAACTTATGGAGGAAGGCATTGCTTTGGGCTTAGGGTTCCAGAGAGAGAGCCCATAATGGTGGGGAAGGTCTGGTGGAGGGGCAGGAAGCAGAGGTCATATCAAACCACAGGCATGTGTAAGCTGGAAGTTGGGGGAGGTATTCAATTCTCAAAGCCACCTCCCCCTCACAGACTTCCTCCGCCAAGGCTGCCCCTCTCCATAACTCTCCAAACAGTGTCACCCATTAGAAACCCAGTGTTTAAGTGTCTAAGCCGTAGGAAGACATTGCTCATTTAAACTACCTTACCTGGCGAGTCACCCTCCTGGTAAGCTGGCAGCTTGCAGCCCCTCACGGTTATCACTGCCTGACCCAAGGGGAATGACTGAGTCCCCTGAGCTTCAGCCACCTGGGCCATCATGGGGATTGGCTTGGATGCCTGGGCCAGAGCAGGTGTCAGATCCTACGCCCCTTGATAGTGCACAGAGGAAAGCTTTCTCAGAAAGGCAAAAGCAGGCCACTCTCCCTCGGGGAGTTTACGCCCACTCTTTGTGTGTCCACTGGAGTCTTGGTTAGGATTACTGGTGCTGTGAGGAAACACCATGACCAAAAGCAACCCTGGGGAGGAGAGGGTTTATTTCCCTTCCATCCCTGTTCATCAAAGGAAGACAGATCAGGAACCTGGAGGAGCTGCCACAGAGGCCATGGAGGGGTGCTGCCTACTGGCTTGCTCTTCATGGCTTGCTTAGCTGCCTTTTTTATAGAACCCAGGACATGAGCCCAGGGATGGCTGCACACACAATGGCCCAGGCCCTTCCCCATTGAATCATTAATTAAGAGAATGCCCTACAGGGCTCCCTATAGCCTGATCTTATGAAAGCATTTTCTCAGTTGAGGCTCCCTCCTCTCAGATGACTTTAGCTTGTGTCAAGCTGCTATAAAGCTAGCCAGAGCACCCCCTTTCCCTGGGCCTCCCTATTTCTGTTAGAATCCTGCTTAAATTTGTGTTAAAATAGCTTCTTTGGTGCATGTGTGTGGCTGTATGTGCCTATGTGTGTACGTTCTCATGTATACAGGAGAGTGCTTGCATATGGAGGGATAGGGTACAAAGTTTGACACTGGGTGTCTTCTTCAGTTTTTCTCACTTTATTTTTTTTTAAAAATGGGTGTGGTGGTTCACACTTTTAATCCCAGCCCTTGGGCAACAAAGTCAGGTGGATCTCTGAGACCATCCTTCCAGGATAGCTAGAACTACACAGAAAAACCTTGTATTGAAAGGCCAAAAGGGGGGGGGGGATGTAACTATGTATAAGTGTGTGTGTGTGTGTGTGTGTGTGTGTGTGTGTGTGTGCTGATGCTTCTTAAGGCTAGAGGTGTCAGATCTCCTGGAGCAACAGTTACAGTTGTCAGCTACCGGGGATGGGTGCTGGGAACTGAACTTCAGGTCGTCTGGAAGAGAAACATGTGGTCTTAACTGCTGAGCCATCTCTCCAGTTCCCTAAAACTTCTTTTTAATGGACTTGGTTCACTTAAAAAAGGAAAAGAAAAAGATAAAACCAGAATCTGAATGTGGTGGCTCAGGCCTATATTTCCAGCACTCAGGAAACTCAGGCAGGAGAATTACAGTAAGCTCAAGGCCAGACTGGAGTACAGTGTAAGACCCTATCTTAAAAAAAAAAAAAAAAAAAAATCAACAACAAAGAAATCCAAATTCAGAACTAGGTCGTAGTAGCTGATGTCAGTGATTCCAGTGCTCAGGAGGCTGGGGCTGGAGGCTTGCCAGGAGTTTGGAGCCAGCCTGTGATGCATAGTTAAGACTCTATCTCAAAGATAAAACCAGAGCTGGGATGTAACTCAGTGATGGAACACTCACCTGGTCCTCAAGAGGCTCTGCCTTCAATCAGCAGTGCTGTTAAAAAAAAAATCACCCACACTTACACAGACATGCAAACCTGAACACACATATGCAAAACCTATACAAAGTTGTAGGGCTGACAGGATGGATCAGTGGTGAGACCGCTTCTTGCCAGGCCTAATGGCCTGAGATTGATCCCCGGGACTCCTGTGGTAGAAGGAGAGAACTGACTTACTTCATACACATACCATGGCACCCATGTCCACAGGTAGATATGAACACAAATAATTACGAGTCTTAGAATCTCGTACCTGCTGTGGAAGGTGCAGCTCTTGCCGCAGGTTTAGATCTTGGTGTATCGCCCTCGTGAATTTTTCACACACATACATTCATACAGAGAACGGTCAGATTCTCACAGGAGAGACCCAAAATTCTCCTTGAGATTTTCTAGCCATGCCAAGACATGAGGCCAGAAGCTATGTCACATGCATGATTATTAATTTGAGCTTTAAAAAAAATTCTCTGTCTTCGACAGGGTTCCACTCTGTTCCTCACACTGGCCTTGAATATGTGGAGGACCGCTCACTAATAATAATAAGAAAAAAATGTCATGAAGCTGAGTGGCTGCCTGACTTTTGGTGGCATTTGGAAACCGGGTGATAGTGATGAGCCCTAACCTGTTCCCCGTCTCTTACCACACCCACCAAGTGGCTGTCTGAGTTCTGTGATGGTCAAGCCAGACAGGGGTTCTTAGGACCCAGTTGCCTTTCTTGGTCTTACTCTTTGCTGTCTGTCTGAACCATCTTTTGTGAACTCCTTTGAAGTCCGTCCTCATTGCTTGGGAAAGCCCAGCCATCAGCCATCTCTGAGAACGCCCCTTTATACTGAGACTAGGTCTTTCTTCCTGGCCAGAGCAGGCCACGTGGACATTTGCCACCTCTGTGTTGAGTGACCTGCTGTGTCCTTACCTCCTTCAGATCAGCCGGATCGAGTACATCCACTCCAAGAACTTCATCCACCGGGATGTGAAGCCTGACAACTTCCTCATGGGCCTGGGCAAGAAGGGCAACCTGGTGTACATCATTGACTTCGGCTTGGCCAAGAAGTACCGCGATGCCCGCACACACCAGCATATCCCCTACCGGGAAAACAAGAACCTGACCGGCACTGCCCGCTACGCCTCTATCAACACCCACCTGGGCATCGGTGAGTGAACTGAGCCCGAGCCAACGTGCTGTGGCCACTGGCCAGGATGGGCCTATGTCCCTACCTGGGTTCAAGACCCCAGGGACTCTTCTGGAGAACCTCATTGAGAAGATTCTCCACTCTTTCTGGCCCAGGCCTGGACTTCTTTCCTGTGGACCCCTTCATAAGTAGAGTGGTATATTTTGTCTGCTGGCCGTCTCCTTGAGTGGGTGGCAGTGTGTCTCACTTATATGTCTGGGAAATGCAAGTCTGGGGATTTAACGTGGCCCTTTCAGTGCATTCAGCTTAATGAATTCTGGGAGCTGGTTTTGACTCCAGCCATGTCTCCAGCTATCTATCGTGTGATCCCTAACTAAGCATGAGACAGGCCAGGCAAGGGGGCGGCGATGCCCACACACAGTTGTTGAGTGAAATAGCACCTGGGCTGGAAAAACTGGCTGGAACAGACGTGAGAAAGTTCTGCCTGAGGCAATCCGGAGGAGGAAGCGGGTGGGCGCTAGTTATAACAGGGTGTCCAGGAGCCAGTGGGCACTGAGGAGGGGGAGGGCGGGGTGCGTAGTGAGAAGCGCAGCCTGACTGGCCTGTTGACCTCCTGACCTGTGCAGAGCAAAGCCGTCGAGATGACCTGGAGAGCCTGGGCTACGTGCTCATGTACTTCAACCTGGGCTCCCTGCCCTGGCAGGGCCTCAAAGCCGCTACCAAGCGCCAGAAGTACGAGCGAATCAGCGAGAAGAAGATGTCAACGCCGATCGAGGTCCTCTGCAAAGGCTACCCCTGTGAGTAGCCGATGGGGATGACATTTCCTTCTAAGGGCAAGACCGGGCCTGTGCCTAGATGGTGTTACCCCCTTCCCCTCCCCCCCCCCATCTTGACCCCAGAGTGTTTATGACAGTCTCTCACTGGGATCTCTCTGCCTAGGAGCTAGATAAACTGAACCCCTACACACAGCTCTAACATACCAGGTGTCCCTAGCCCCATCTCCTCCTCATCCTGGAAGTCCGCTCTCGGCCTGTATGGTTTGAGGAAGTGGAAGCTGTGTTTTGGCTCAGGTCGTGATGGGGCTCTGGACCCGTCAGGGTTTTTTGAATAGCCTTTGCGTTTACGGCCGTTGTTGTCCTGGTGGCTGTGACCCCAGAGTGCTTGGTCAGACAGGTGGCGAGCACCTCTGCTTGACAGTGGCCGGACTGTGTTCAGTTCTCATCCTGCCCTTCTTAGATTGATACCTTTGCAGGGTAGTGGGTACCTGGGACAGTGGTGGCTGCTGAGGTTGCCAGGAGAGTGTCCCTCACAGCAGCCTCTTCTGTCCTTGTGACCCACCAGCCGAGTTCTCAACATACCTCAACTTCTGCCGCTCCCTGCGGTTCGATGACAAGCCTGACTACTCCTACCTGCGCCAGCTCTTCCGCAATCTCTTTCACCGGCAGGGTTTCTCCTACGACTACGTCTTCGACTGGAACATGCTCAAATTCGTGAGTCACCGGCAGGCCAAGGCGGGCTTGGGGGACTGGACAGGGCAGGCCCTGACTCATAAGGCCAGAGTGACCTGGTGGGGGGCGGGGCTCCCATTAAACGGGAGGTATGAGCTGGTCAGTGTGAGTGACGTCACAGGGGTCCCAGACCCCCTCGTCTCCAGCCACCTCAGCATAGACAGGGCATGTCGCCGTGGGGGGCAGGGCCCTGGGAAGGCACCACCTCCTGCCAGGTGGGAAAGGACCTGGCATAGCCTCCAGTCCCTCTTGTGTACCTGTGTCGAATGGATGGCCCTGGCTGGACCCTCTGCAGCCCTGATAGCTGTCTGTATTCTCCTGTTCCTCTTGTGCGTATCCCAGATGGTGGCCCTTTCCGAGGCCTCCCTGGCCAGCCTGGACCCCGTCAGAGTGGCTTCTTTGTTCCTGGTTATAGGACCCTGGGTCTTACTAGGCAGTTGTTCTGTGTCCCTCTTCTAAGGGTCCTAGGGTGGGGAGGTAGGGAGAAGCGTTCATCAATCGTGCCTCAAGCTCTGGAATCCGTCAAATTGTATGTCTTGTTTCACGTCTCTTCTGGAAAAGGGGGCTTCCTCGAGCCAGGCTCAGCCCCGAGACAACGAAGCTCTTATGTCGCCCTGTCCCCGCCCATGGCCTTGCGCTGGGCCCACATGCTCACCCACTTACTGGTAAGGATCTTCCAAGGCCTGGCCCTTCGTAGATGTGTGACTTAGCCAGCAAGCATGAAGGCTTAGCCTCAGCTGTGCTCTCTCTGTCCTTTCCAGGTGCCCGGCGCCCCTGGGCACCCAAGGACCCCCAGATAGGCCGGTGGAGGAGGTGGAGCAGCTGCCCCCTCAAAGATACTGGCCTGTGGTCTGGACTCCAGGGCCCCAGTTCTGACACCACCAGGGTGTCGCAGCCATCTCTGCGAAGCTTGAGGAAAGCATCCTACGGGATTGCAGGGTGACACCCTGTTCCAAAGAGGTGGCTGTCCGGTGGAAAGAGTATGACAGAAAGCCCTGCATGGGATTCTCGAGAGTAAACCAGCTGCCTGAGGGCTAGGACAAGCCTGAAGAAGGAATAGCGACTGCCTGGGAGGGGTTGGTGGCACATCAAGGACCCTGCTCCGTCTAGACCCCAGTATCGGCCTATGTATTGATTCTGAGCTCATTAAAACCCTTCCTTCTCTTCATCCACGTGTACCTCTCTTTTCACAGAGCGGCCCTTGGCCCGCTCCATCCAGTGTTAAGAACGAACACAGATAGGCCTTGTCTTCTGGACACCAAGATGGTACAATGATTTCGGGCTCTTCTCTTTGGGTCCGAACGGTGGCCTGGGCCTGTTCTCTAAGGAAGTCTCACAGGCTGGGGACTTCGAGGACAAACTTGTGCCTTTTATCTCTGGGACTGGAGTGAAAGGTGGGCAGTGAGGCTCCTTCCAGCTCAGAGCATGTTGGCCTAGGGCCTGGTCGTGCAGCTAGTTCTTACTGGATGTTCAAGACCTGGGGCACCAGACATGTGCTACAGAAAATTACCCAAGTCTAATTTGGAGATGGGTTTGACCTTTCTCGGTGATGCTCAAAGGATAGACTTTGTATTCTCTAGGCCTGGGCATCCCTCTGTCATAGCCCCTGGCCACACAGTGCTGACTTTCATTCAGTAAAATCATTGGAAATGGATGCCAGCTCCTTAGTCAGTCACCAGATTCCACTAAGAAAGGACAAGTGGCTGCTACATCCCGCATGACAGATGGGAACATTTGTCCTCCGGGAGGTCCTATGGACAGCTGCGGGACATGCTTCCTTCACAGTGCCCCTTGTGTGAATGACCAGTTGACAAAATCTCAAACTAGGCCAGATCCACCCTCCCGGCCCAGTCTCTAGTACTGTGATCCCCTCCCTGGAGTCTCCTTGGAGGAAGTAGACTCTAGAGTTCAAAGCTGGACAGCCTTTGCCTCTGCCTTGTGTGACCCTGTCACCTCGTGGCCAGCTTCATTGCCAGGACCATCTGTGGAACACACAGCAGAAACAACCATCACCCCCGAGACCGGGCCTTCCCACCTGCCCTGCAGTAAACAGTCTGTCAGCTGTACTCTGCAGACAGGACTCCCTGAGCAACAGACCGCACGGATCCACTTGACCTTGGAATGACCTCCGCTGTCCCACCCCAGGGGACTGGAATCCCCAGATGCTTCTCTCTGAGAACATAACCATGATTCTAGTCAGGAGGAGACTTCACATAGCCGAGGACTGGGGTCTGTCTGTAAGATGGAGCCAGACACTTGTGTGACTTTGGCACTGACTTCTGTGTTTTCTTGTGGGCAAATAAAGGCTGTGAACACTCTCTGGCGTGCGTTTCTTGAGGCATCTATCACGTTGGGTAGATGCTTGTGGGGCCAGATCTGTCCTGAGCCTACTGGACTTGCTGAGACCTCCCAGGCATCCACCTGGCTACTGCTGTGCCAAGCTTGAAGCATCTACGGACAGCAGGGTGACCTCTGCACCCCTAAGTGAAGCTCTAAGCTTAGCCTCATCCAGCCTCCGCTTCCCATTGCTACCACAGGAGGCACAGTGAACACAGCAGCCCTTGTTTCTGATTGGACTGTAGTTCAGCTGATCCTGGGCAGCAAGTGAGGTGGAACACCGGCAGTCTTGAACCCTGGCTTCTGAGAGGGATGTCTAGGATACGGTATCTGAACAGTGTCCTTTTGAGGGACAGATTAGGACTCAGTGGTAGGACTAGGTTTATCCCCAGATCTGTATGAGTTTTGTAACTCTGGGCAGGTCACAAGACTCTGGCCAGGCCAAATAAGAATAAAACCTGTCAGCGTTTCACCTCAGAGGGGGCCCCAGACAGGAGTTAAAAGTGCTGGCAATGGGGTGAGTGAGGATGTACCTGCCTGGCTTGGCTCCTTCCCGTAAGACTCTGGGATCATTCTGGATCAAGCCACCCCCTCCCCATTTTCCAGAGCAGCAGGGCTTGGAAAGATGAGGTTGGCAGAGCCCACACTACCCCACGGCCCATGGCCGGCTCCCTACTCAGCCTGCAGCTCTCTCCACAGATGCGGCCCCCCTTCCACCAGCCCCCTGCCCTTCCCTGTGGACGGCCCCAGGACCAGCTAGGTAACTCAGCCAGGCGCTGCTCCCATGCTGCATCTCTTTCTGGTCCTTTCTTCCTTCCTCTTGGACTTGGGGCGGCAACTTAGAGGACAGGCCCCTGGGGGGCTCAAGGCACCTATCTACCTTCTCCAGCTTTATCTGAGGACCTCTTTTCTCTGTGGAACACCTAAGCATCTTCCTTTGCCCCTGGGCTTCCAGGCAGCAGCATTAATGGGGTCCCTTAGGTCCCCTGGCTGTCACTCCATAATAGGAGTAATGGCCAGATCTGGGAGCCCGGGGAAGGTGGCCTTGTGATTGGGCCCCAGGGGACCTCGGGACAGTGCTGGCTCTACCTTCATCGGAATTTGAATCTACTCTTTCTTCTCTGGTTATGGCCTGTCTGTCAGCTAGTTGGGCCTCTGAATGCCCTTCCTGCTTAGTTAAGAACAGAGGGGGCCAGGTTGGAAGAGCCAAGAGTTACCCCTGGTCTTCCTGGAGCTAACAGCCGGGACAGGCTGAGCTCTCTGCTTCTCTGCCATGGCACCTCCCTCTCCTGGGCATTAGGTGGCTTGGTGTTTGTAGACTGTGGTTGAGGGTAACTTCTGGCTGTCTTTGGTCTGGGGAGGGAGTTGAGCTGGTTTCCTTGAGCTGTCCAGGCGCCTCTCCCTCCTGCTCTGCACTGTTAGGGTTCTGGGTTACAATGTATCGTCCTCCCTGAGCTGACTGGAATCTGTCTCATCTTGTGTTCCTGTAGGGTGCAGCCAGGAATCCGGAGGATGTAGACCGGGAGAGACGAGAGCACGAACGAGAAGAGAGGATGGGGCAGTTGCGAGGGTCCGCGACCAGAGCCCTGCCCCCTGGCCCACCTACAGGGGCTACCGCCAACCGACTCCGAAGTGCAGCAGAGCCTGTGGCTTCCACCCCAGCCTCCCGCATCCAACAAGCTGGTCAGTAGCGGCCTTAAGCCTTGGGCTGGGCCTCTGAGAGTTAGGGGGCTGCCTATGCCCATACTGAAGGTGGCTCCCCTCCCCTCCCTCCAGGCAATACTTCTCCCAGAGCGATCTCACGTGCCGACCGAGAGAGGAAGGTGAGCATGAGGCTCCACAGAGGTGCGCCTGCCAATGTCTCGTCCTCAGACCTCACCGGGCGGCAAGAGGTCTCCCGAATCGCAGCCTCACAGGTGAGTCAGCTCTTCTGAGCATCTCTGGGCATAGCGGACTTAGATATTCTCGGTGTTGGTCTCACCTTTGGCACCTTTCCTCCCCTGTCTCTGTTCACCCTGGAGCTAATTAGCCCTCTTGTGTTGAGGAAAGTGAGAAACTGAGGCTCAAAGAAATAACAGCCCAGTAGGCCATAGCACTCACTGCCAGGAGGCAGCCTGGGTGGACGACTCTCAGCGGTTCTCATCAGCACTGATGACAGTAAGGGGTGGGGGAGGAGGGGCGGTCCTGTCTGGTAATCCCACCTAGTGGCCATATTTAGACTCAGAATGTAGGGAAAGAGGCAAAGGGAGATGCCTGTGGGAGATGAACTTCTGTGGCTCCAGACCTGGATTGAGCCATCCTTGGCTCCAAGGAGAGTTCCAGCTATAGAGCCAGGGGCAGCCTCAAACTCTTGAGATCACACAGCCTGCCCTCAGACTGAGCAGCCTGCTGTGATGGGTGGAGCTCCAGGGGGAGAGATTTGGGGAATCACTGTGGTCACCTTCTTAAGGACTCATCTTGAGACTCCCCCCTATTTCTCTGTCCCCCTCTTGAAGACAAGCGTGCCATTTGACCATCTTGGGAAATGAGGAGAGCAACCACAGACCAGTGTTTGCTTAGGTGAGTGCCGGTGTCTACTGAGGGCCCTGGGAGGAGGGGAACAAGACATGGAAGCAGGAACCTCCCCTTCCCCTTTCCCGTCTCTTCAAGGAAGCTTTAAGTGTTAGAACTTGCCATCCAGGCTATGGTTTCTCACAAGCAGTCCTGAGTTTGTACACAGGGACATTTTGGGGAATTAAACCCTTTTTCTGTCCTTGGTTCTAGTGTCCTCTTGGTCCCTAGGAGAGGCCAGGCTCTTGGCTACATGTGGGTTTCCAGGGCTTTAGCCTGCCTCCTCCTTTTGGCTGTTATGTAAGATGATTTGTGCAAAGGCAAAAAGGAACCAGAATGCAGAAGGCCCTTGGCCAAGGCGAGTTCGGAGTGACTGCCCGTGGCTGCCCGTGGCCGGCTGAGGCTTGGGAGGCAGTACCAGTAGCCTGGTTTGGGAAAGGGCTCACAGGCTCTTCTGGTAGTATTTACTGGGGACCAGAGCTCCCAGCAGAAAGTGGATGTCAGCAGGCAGTGTCCCACCCGTTAAGGGATACAGCTTCACACTGCAGACATTGTCCCACAAATGGCTAATCCATTCAGACAGACGGGGTTGGGATGATCGTTCAGCCGGCCAGGGCTCAGCCCACAGGGCAGAGGAGCGCATTGACTAGATAAACTGAGGCAGCCAGGCACCTGACCATTGTCTTTCCTTCCCTCCTAGTGTCTTCACTGCATTTTCTTTTAAAAAAAATAAAAACAAATAAGAGAAAGGACAGAAAGAAAGAACCGCTCACATGAACACAAAAGAAAAAAAAAACAAACCACAAAAACCACAACCCAGCACAAAGTCGACAGTGGATTTTGTTTCTTTGATTTATTTTGCCAATGGCAAAAAGACAAGACGTCCTTAGCACTGAGGATTCTTGTCCCCTTGCCTTGCCCACTGCTCCCAACCCGAAGGCTGCCAACACTCCTCTGGTGACACTCCAGCCACCTGTTCTCACCACCGGCCACCACGTGCTGGGCTGCCATCGAAGGTGCCTGAAGAGCTCGCATCAGGGAGTGGTTTGGCCAGTCAAAAACACATCCCAGGAGATTTCATCGACCCTTGGATGACACACGCCATCAGCCCTTGGGTGATGACAGTGGCCAGCGCTGTATTGGGCTTTCCCAGAATCCTCTCCCTGAGCATCCTGGTCCCTACCACACACACCTGTCACCTCTCCACAGAGATCTTGAGGGTGCAGTGAGATGGTGGCCATGATGTTTTGTGAGTCTGTGTGTGTGTGTGTATATGTGTGTGTGTGTGTGTGTGTGTGTGTGAGAGAGAGAGAGAGAGAGAGAGAGAGAGAGAGAGAGAGAGAGGCTTGTATTTTTCAGAGCTGCAGGTAGCCTGCCACGCCTGCCTGGCCAAGTTTCTGTTCTCCCCCTAAAGTCAAGGTGGGGTGGGCAGTGACCTCCACATCCCTCAGGGCATAGAGTCCTTGCCACCACCTGTCCCCAGATGCCAGTGTGTGGCAGCCCCCCATCTTCCATTCCTGATCTTAGGCAAGTTCTTGGAGTCTGCTCCCAGATGGCATCGGCTCTGAGTTACCAGTTAGTTCCCTGGTCCTGAGAGTCACCTGTGGTCACCCGTCTTCCCAGGCCTGACTCCAGAGTAGGACCCTGGGTCAGGGCTAAGTGTTGAATTTTCCCTTCCTGGTTAACACCTGGTTTTTTGTTATTTTATTTTATTTTTGTTTGTTTTCTCGGTGTGTGTATTTCCTAATTTATTTACCTCTTTTTCCCTTTCTTTTTTTTTAATTAAAGAGCAAAACTTTTTATTACTTTGTAATTTAAAAAAACTGAAAAAAAATTACTGAAGAACTTTGGGGGGAATTTTGTACTTTTTTCCTGTGTAAATATTGGACTTTTTTGAGCTTTATTGTGGTTGTTAATTTGAAGTAATAAAGTAGAAAAGGACAAAGTGATGTAGACCACCCTCTGTCCGCCTCTTTGCTGCTCTTGGGGTTTCTCATCAGCTGGCTTACCAGGGACAGGATGTCACAAAGAAGCCGCCAGCCTCAGAGGCAGCTTGGCTAGAGCCTTTGGGAACTCAAGGTACACAGTGCAGTCTCTGACTTCTGGCTGTTGGATGAGAACACTCTTTAGGTAGGGCAGGGTGAAGATCTACACAGTAAAAGGTGAGGCTCTGAGGCTGCCCTAGGGACATCATGTTATTTACAGGAGAGTAAGGCTCTGGGACACTGGCTTCCCATCCAGAAACAAGCCTTGAGTTACAGCCTTCAAGGCCCAGCCCAGGCCATCTGACCTCGCCTCCGTTGACCCTGGAGTTCTATGTGATGATCTCTGCTTGCTGTGTCCCTTGGCCATGCCCTGGTGTAGGGGTCTCCACCCTCACTCACTCTGTCTTATTGCTTATAAGACATGTGTCCAAGTCTCAGCACAGACC